ACAGATCCCCACACTTAGTCATGTGCACCTATGTGTGAAACCTGTAATTGATTTTATGTTTAATTATTAAGTCCACAGACTACATTATCCATCAGGGGTTTTCTTTACTGTCAAAATGCTTATTTTCCAGCTCTTCTGAATGTTTACTTAGGCTGATACTTTGCAGCAATCTGAGATTTATGTTATGCTGGCATTTCCAAATCAACTGTAATTCAGTGGTGCATAGTGTCCAGAAAAGTTAAAGTTAATACAGTCTTAGGAAACATTTCTAACTTGCAAAGAAGCAGCAACCTTCGATTGGGAGGCTGAATTACCAGCTGATAGTGAGATAACAGCTGTAAAAAATTCCTCTTTACCTGGAATTAGTTTTCATATTTTAAAAAATCCAGTTATATTTGTTTTTTTCAAATACACAAAACATATGACATTAAAAACATTTTCAAATGTTCCTTCACTAAAAATGTCATAACAATGTGGAAAATTCCAGGTACCCAGAAAGAGACCAGGTACCCAGAAAATTTCAGCTACCTAGAAAATTCCAGAAACCCAGAAAGAGAATCTAGAAATTAATTTAGAAATTAGAAATTAATTATGGAAAACATTAAATCTAGAAATGTTATGTTTATTGAAAATCATGTGGAATGTTTTGGTAACTTGATTGTTATCCTAAAAGTTAGCTAAAACACATAAGAGTTTTTTTTTTTCTCTCTTTAGTTCGTAACTCTTCTAATTACTGTATTTATGCCTCTGCACTTACAGAATAACTAAAATATGCAAAGCTGATAAAAATACCAGAGAACAAAGTAGTATCATCCATACCCTCAGCCTTGCTGAGTTTTTGTTATATTAATTTACCTAAGCATAAAAAATCGAGATGGTAACATTCTTAAAACTTATTATGCTGCTTAAGAAAGGGCTGAATAAGAATCTAGAGACAAAAATAGAAAATTCTACATGAGATCCTCTACCTACAAACGTCAGTGTTTCTTTCCTGAAGTCCTGAGCTGTTCTTACGCACATATTGCTGCTTCTGCATTAGAGGCTGATTACATTTAAAATCATTCTGTAGGAGAAAAACAATTGACATTTTATGATGTTAAATGGATGAATTAGGTGTATATACACAAGTTCTCTAAGTTGTCACTGTTTATATATTCTGCCAAATTTAATAATATAAAAATCCAGCACTGCACAAAAGAACAAAGGGCGCACCAGGAATGCCATGGTGGGCACAAAAAGATGAGAGCTGTGGAGGCCCACGAGTAGGACTGGCCTGCTCAGGCTTCCCAGCTGAGGGCGCCCAGTGGGTGCCACTGTCCACTCCCTCCCCAGCAACTTTATTCCTCCCCCACCGCTCCTCACCCACTCTCAGTCAGGGTTATTTATAATCCATTGTTCCACAGAAATACAGATGTGATGTGGAAGGGGAGAAACGCTGGTATTCTAACACCTACAATTCAAGGATACAGTTTTGAAATCAATCATAAAATAAATAAGTATTTTCCCATTATATAACTCTATACTCCATGTGATATAAACTCAAATGTATCTCTACATTATCAAGAAACTTAATATTTAACTCCTTATAACAGAATCAAAATCAAAATCCATATCTGAGCCAGTTCCATGATTTCTTAAGTAACATAAATTACACTTAAAATATAATTTTGAAATTATACTTAACATTTTTTAAATTCATGGCAGAAAGTAATAAATGTTAACTTTATTGTATCCAAAGTTACAATTTAATCTGATAAACAAAAACTTCAGGAAAAATGCAGTATCAAAAACCTAAAAATCCTTTAGGGCAGAAAAGCCCAGGGATGCAGGTAAAGTGCTGCTGCTGCTGCCTGTTACGCAGACCTTCATGCTTTCATCTGTGCTTGCATGTTCATTATGTTCAAATAACTATTTCACTATGGAAGGCTAAAATACACCATTTACAATAACTCGTTTCCATTTAAATCAAGCCAATGCTAAAAGAAAAACTCCACTGTATTTTCAAATTTTCACTTGGTACAAAAGAAAACAATTTAGAGAAATTTATAGATTCTTTAGAACCCCAGTAACATATTTTAGTTTAAAAAGCCCCTATTTTAGGCAGGTAGAAAGGTAGTCTTTACAAGTATAGTTTAGTATAGACAACTAGGTTACCTGAAAAAAGGTATTGATCCAAACCTCTTTTACATTTGGGGATATAATTTGCAAAAGATTACTTTCCAAATGGTATTCTATTTAGTCTCATATTAAACTGGTTTTGTAATAAATTGTTATTACTTGAGTAACTTTCATTCTCTGGCACACGGAGCCACAGAAATTTATAAGTTACAATCAAATACAGAGATCACAGGTGAATTTTAATCTTCCTTTATATAAAAATTTCTCTATGAAGGAAGTGTGGGAAAATACTAACACTAAGCTTCTCCATTAAATGCAAAGGAAATAATCATAGCTAAAACATTAAAATTTTAAAAGTTTGGCATATAATTAGAAAGATAAAGGAAAAAAGAATACTCTCTCATAAAGAGCAAATAAAATAGTATTTCCCTGTAAAGACAGAATACTCTTCCTCTTATAATCATACACGGAGAAAGGTACTATGAGACTATACCAAGTTTCTAAATTCAAGAAAAAAGTCAAATTTTAAATATTTCATCTTCAATACATGATCATCTGAACAACAAAAATTCTCAACCAAAAAATTTCCTCCACTGGCAAACATCCTGTTTCACACACATCTTGCCTTTCATATTAGGAATATACATTTTTTAAAACAAGAAAACCACTAGATCCAACAAGAAAGATTTCAAGAGAAATAAACTAATAAAAGAATAATTATATTTCAATAGCCCTAATTTCGACACGATGGGAAAATAAAACTTTGACTTTCATAGAAACTTTAGAAAAACATCTGGCAACTAATTATAAGTTCATTGGTTGCAACGGCCTCAAATTCTATTAAATGCCAACATCCTTTAAATTAAATTCCTGAAAGAGATATAAACAAACCATAAAATATGAAATTACTAAATAATTGATTTATCTTGAAAAATCTAGCTTGGGTAAAGTGAAGTAAGGAGAGAAATCCAGTGGTGTATCTTAAGTTTTACTGACAGACCTGAAGTTTTTCCTCCTGCTAAACAGATAAAAACCATTCTGGGGTTTTTACCTTCTGTTTTGATCCCATTCTTCTTGCACTGAAGTTATGGAAAAAAGTAAAAACATTTTCAGCCCATCAAGTGCTGTCAGCACTAGCTCTGAATCTACCCCAAGTCCATCTACTTCTTATCTCAATGTTTATCGTCTACGCCAAGCCACCAACTATCTCAGCCCCAGACTATCATGAGAACCAGTTCAAATGCTCTTCATTCTTTCTCACTCACCCTTACACAATCCATTCTCCAGGGAGTAGCCAAAGTGACCTTTTCGAAACATAAACCACACCTTGTCATTCCCCTATTTAATATCCTTGCAATGGTTTTCAACTCATCTTACAGGAGTCAAATTACAGCCTACAATGCCCTACATGATCACGTCTCTGCCTACCTCTCCGGAACCGTATTTTTCCCCTTGTACCATCCTTCAAGTCAGAGTTTGCCCTTGACCATCCTTCATATCAGAGTTTCCCAACCTTGGCACTGACGTATACTTCTTTAATGCTGGGGACTGCCTGCATTACAGGATATTACCAGCACTCCTGGTCTCTATCCACTAGATGCCAGCAGCACCTCCAACCCTGAGTGTCACAACCACATAAGTCCCTGTACATTGCTTTAAACAAGCCAAGTTCATTATTACTTCATGGCCTTTTCACCTCTCATTCCCTCTACCTAAAATGCTTATTCACCCCAGTAATAGAGCTGTATGGCTGGTTCCTTTTCATTACTGTCATCTTAGCTATGTGGCCTACTCGGGGAGGCTTTCTCTAATCATCCTATATAAAGTTGCACTCACTTCCATCATACCTAACATCATTTAACTTATCAAGGTACAAATTTGTACACTTATCAGAGTACAAAGTGCTCAAAAAGCAGTTGTAAGAATTTACATAAATGTCACTATTTATGATAAAAGTGTTAAGTGGCAGGAACATAGTATTTAACACATGATACCACAGCAGCACTCCTGGATAGTCTCCTACACTGTATTTGCCTGCATCCTCAAAATGCACCCATGCTAATGCATCATTAATCCTCTCCTTTGGAAGGGCTGGTAGCATTATTGTCAGTTAAAAGCAATGTATATTTGTTCCTGATGCCTTAACAAAAATAGTCCAAAACAGAGCATCCTTCCAGAGGCTGCGGAATGGAGAGGCACTTGAACTGTTTAGGATAGTGATGAAGGCACTGAACACCCAACCAACAGCTAAAAGCAGCTATGCCAAGGGGAATCTTCATTTCTTCATTTCTTCTATTATGTACACAAAGGGCTCACCATTATTATGTCTAAGTAGTTACTCTTTAATTGATCTTGTTTTAAGTGGATACAAAAAAGTCACTAATTTTTATTTTAAAAATAAAAACAGGCAACAAAGAAGCACAACTTTAGTTACTTCAAAAGCATAAACTATATGAATGAAATGTGAGAGCTGAATCTGAGTTTCATCAGCTTTTAGGGTTTTTATGTGAATTGGTAAAATTCATTCAATTTACCATATGCTGAATAGTCAAGCCTTGCAAAATTGTGGCGTCTCTAAAGGAATCAGTAGTCCAACTGCATTCAACTCCAAAAAGGACTGACTGACTTATGTCACAGGATCCTTTGAGTTACCTCTGGAGTTGTTTTTGAAATTATTATTTTGAATATACACTCGAGACCTTGAGTATCTTTTTAAAACTATTGTGTTATTGCTCGGAATTACTAAAATATATTTCTACATTTTGAATCAAACTCACTGATTTTAAAAATGGTCATTCAAAGCATTTACATAAGAACTTTTAGAATGGCAAGTGAGAGTTTGCAGACTAATGTACGAGTGTGAGCAAAAAGCCATGGCATACCAGTTGTGCACCATGAGCTTCTGCACGGCCAGCAGAGCGTTATAGCGGACCTGCTGGTCTTCGTGATGCATGTGGTTCATGACCAGCTGCTTCCCACCGAGCTGCTCGATGACCCTGCAAACGCGAGAGACATGGTGAGGAAGATGCAATTACTCTCAAATTCACAGTTTATAAACAGGCATCTCAAATACCAAAATGCTAAAAAGGAAAGTAACAATGTACGAAAATAAACCAAACGTGTCTTTTTTTTTACATCATTTTCCCTGAACCACAGATTTACAGTATTCAAATATTTTTTTTTGAATTCCTAATGATAAATCCAACAGCTGTCCTCATTTCTCATCTCTAATCCAGAAAAGTATGATCTGCCCAGATACCACCCAGTCACCAGCATTTTAGATCATGGTTTTCTAAGTGGTTGAGTATTAACGTTTTTATTATCAGTATTTCTTGCTTGTTTAAAATCAGTATTGAACACCATCTAATTTTCATAATATACAATCAATATCAAGCCCACCAGTGACTGTGCTGTGTGACAGATAGGGGCCTAGAGGTAGACAGCAGGGAACAGAGGGTTAAAGAGCACCCATGCTAATTTCCTGGAAAAGACTACTGATTTTAAGATATCCACCGGTTTCTCAGAACAATGGGATATGCCATGTGACTTGGGCAGTGAGATGGAGGAGAACATTCATATCTTCGAGAGCACCGAGATGACTGACAACCGACACTGCTTTCTATCACCACACTTCCAACACCCTGAAAATCCACTTATTACATACACAAAGGAAAGTAAAAATGGTTATTTTCGTCATGCATAGAAATAGGTCCTCTGTTCCTTTGCAAAAGTGTGGTTACAGACAGAGCTGTGGAGTCTCAACTTCCACAAAACAGTGTGGACTGCCCTGTCCATTCTTCAGCCACCAGTCCTGTCTAGTGGAGGATACCTACTGTATGGTCAGTGACAAGTGGCACCTTAATACAGTACGGTGTTTGGTGGTTTAAGACAATCTCATAGATCAGTAAGATTTCTGGGGTCAGAAAGAAATAAGTAGATGGGGTCGGAGTGAAAGGGAAGCTTTTATCTGCATACCTTTTCATATTTTATTCTTTAAAGCATGGTTTTTTTAAAAAAATGTATTGAACTGAGGGGAACAAAAAGAACATAATATAAGTATCATCAAACATTAACTGAGTGCTTACTGCGTGCCAGGCACCGTACTTTAAAACATTATCTAACAAATCAGCTCAGCCATTTATCAAACATGTTAATTAGACAAGTCCTTTACCTGGTAAATTCCTCCCTGACAAATAGGGAGGACAAGGACATCTTTACAGCGTTGCTGTGATGATTAAAGGACATAAAGCCTATGTCCCTGCAGGACACCAAGCCCAGCTCTGCAGCGATGATGATACAAGATGCTCTCCTGCCTCCCATTCTCACTGTAGCCAAAGGGATCTTAGCAAAACTCTGCATATTATTTTTACTACTTAAAATTCAGTGGCTTCTACTTCTCTTAACAAAAGGACCCAGGCCAGGCTCATGCCTGTAATCCCAGCACTTTGGGAGACCAAGCTAGGACAAATTGCTTGAGCCCAGGAGTTCGAGACCAGCCTGGGTCACACAATGAGATGTTGTCTCCACAAAAAAATTAAAATAAAAAATTAGCCAGGCTTGGTGGTGTGCACCTGTAGAAACAGCTGTTTAGAAGGCGGAGGTGGGAGGATCACTTGAGCCCAGTTCAAGGTTACAGTGAGCTATGATCGCACCACTGCACTCTAGCTGGAACAACAGGGTAAGACCGTTTCTTAAAAAAATAAATAAAAATAAAACAAAGGACCCAAATCCTTACAATAGCTGACAAGGTCCTTTCACAGTCGGCTTTGGAGCCCCACTGAGCTTCACAGAGCACGGTCACAGGCTGCTTGTTCTCAAGACTGCCTCTGAGGCCTGAGCTAGCAGCCAACAGCACCATAGCTCCTGCCTGAAGGAAGCTTCTCTAATGCACGAGTTTTCTCCACAGGCACGTAACAGCCCCTTCTTGTGCTTAGGAACATTATACACCACTCCAGCAGAAGGTCTGGGGCAATTTTAAACAGCAAAATCGCCCCCACACACACACAAAAACCCCACAAAACTGCAAAAAAAAAAAATATGGCACTAAACAGACCACGTAAAGGATGCTTGTTTCTAGCGTAAAACAGAACACAGGATGGCGGAACGTTGCCTTGTTCCCTCACAGCTGCGGATGTGTCCATGCGCGACTCTAATTATTCGACAATTCTATACATGTCCACGGATAACTGCGAAAGCGCCTCTAGTACTGGCACGGGTGTTGAAAATAAACTTTTTAGGAGGTGGGCAAATTCACAATTCTGGAACCAATGAATAATGAGGATCAAAATACAATCTCAGAAAACTGCCACGTTATGAGCAAAATACGACTGAATCCCGAAGTGCTGAGATTACAGGTGTGAGCCAACACGCCCAGCAATCCTTTCTTATGACTCAAGAAGTCTATTCTAGATAACTTGGTAAAAGTTCAAAAACAAAATAATTCTAATACTTGACATGAAAGAATTACGTAGTTTAAAATGCTTGAGTATTATGATTAATCTTTTAGAAAACTTAGTTCAAATTGTTGGTCTGCAAATCCACTGAACATCCATAAAGTTTGGAAAAAAAAAAAAAAAAAAAAAAACCTCCTATAACCATGAGAGAAAACACTGTTTTGTTTTGTTTTGTTTTGTTTTTTGAGAAGTTTCAAAAAGCAGAGTCTTAATGAGGAGAAAATAATTCGAAAACATATCTCAAAGCAGAAGGATCCGGAGCTTGCAGAGAAAATAAGTTATGCTGGTGAGAGGCTTCAGAATAAAGAATGACTATATTAGTCCATGATGTAAATATAAGCCACTGGAAGGACGTAGAAAAGAATTAGCCTGGCCACAGTTTTGGGCCCAAAAAGGCTATTTCAGGAAAAGCACGGAGGATCGACTGCAGCAGTTACTGGTGATAGGAAGTCTAACGAAGGTACAGCATGGTGGGAGAGATCATCCTTCTTAGGGAGAAACAGTAAAGCAGGGAGAAAGAAAGGAACGGAGCAGTAGAGCAGAATTACGTTAAGGCACAGCAGGCTTCTGCCTTGGCAGCAGGTCAGGTGTGCACAACATAGCCAAAAGGAACATTTGAAACACTGGCTGGCTACTGAGGCAGTACTGTGAGAAGATAAATTCTTCAACAAGCTTTTCACTTTCAGGATTTTAGAACGATCATATTTTTATCTTCATTTGCTTTTTAGCACTTATAAATCTAAGAGGGCTCTATATACCATCGATCCGTCTGTTTTTCATGTTTAACACATTTTAGATGAGTTACAGATTTGACTATTAGCTACATTTATATTTGCCTTATCTAAAGATCTTTAATTTTCCATAGAAAAACAGATTATTTTGGAATGATATTAATTTTGGACAGCTCTTGATATTACAGTGTCAAGAACTATGAGGGTCTTAGTTTTTACCCTACTTGCAGCTAACAAGTTAGCCTGCCACAGTTTCATGGATCCTGGTAGAAGACATGAGACTCCTAGGTCTGAGACAAAGGATAGTTTATTGTTCACAGCAACAGAAATATTGCTGTGAAGATATTGGCATTTTAGTGCTGGTCCCCCAAGCCTCAATTTCCACAAGCCAACATAAAGGGAGCCAGATGAGCCCTGCACACTGTATAAGAGGAACCCTAAACTTAGAGAAACCCCAATCTCTGATATGGCAGTAAGCACATCTGCCCATTGCTCTTAGGCAGATGAACCTCTCTGTAAAGCGCATTCAGTGCCTCGTCTTGCAAGAAGTTCAGAAAGGTGAGAGACAGAAGTCCAAAAGGCTTATCGGGAAACAAAGAAAAATGAAAGGCATGAGAAATGTCTTCGTACAATATGAACCCCTCATTTCTACACCATCTTACCTTCCAAAAAATTTATCCATGAACACAACACTTGTGGGTGGTTCTGATGAATTTGGCTGGCACAGGCTGGGACCAGGTCCACTTAATTAGTTTTATATGCCATTTCATTAAGGCTACTACCTACAAGACTCCAAGCACCAGGATAAGGCCAACATGCAGCAGTGACCTCACCACCCGTGTCCCGCAGGGTCCTGAACTTAACCACCTAAACAAATGCAATGAATCATCAGAGTCTACAAGGACAGCCTCCTTTTACAGAGCTCTCCACACTTGTCTGATGACTACGCAATCTACTGGTAGTGTTTCCTGAAATACTTGAAGGTTCCTTATGACCACCCCTAAAGTACAAGTTACTGTCCCTTTAAGAGGCAGATGAGTTAATGCCTGGCTTCCATAAAGTATAATACCAGGGTACTCATCGTGCCCCTGGAAAGTGGTTTATCATTGCTGGGGCCACCCAAGTGAGACTTTCATGAGTTAGGAAACAGGCTGGGTGACCTCCTGGCTGGATGATAAACCTTCAGAGTCTGAGTTCAGTTCAAATAACTGAGTCCTTATTTTAAGGAGAGACTGGCCTATTTGTCTATGCCACCAGTCAGAGGACATTTGTCCGTACCATGGGATGGCTGAGGGATAGCTTTAGAATTGGGGAAATGGGAGAGACATACAGAGTTGCTGACAGGCATTTTGCTTAGGAGGTGCAGGAGCCACCATTATCTCTTCTGTTTCCAATAAATTTTTCAGTAAGGAAACGGAGTGGCCATGGTATAGCAGTGAGAGCTATCTGGCAGTTGGTGACAGGCCCAGCACTCAGTTAAACAGAAGTCACTGGCAACAGCTTGGGAGATTTGTGTGTTTTCCTTTGAAGAAAGCTCTAGAGGCAGTTCACTGGAAACAAAGATCACTGATGTCCCTCCCTCCCCTGTATCTCCAGGTTCTGAGGTATTCTTCAGATGCTGAGGTTGCTGTTATCCTTCCACTGCTACAAAATCTATGTGCCCCATTCCAATAGCTAGCCTCGCTATTTTTTAACCATCCCTTAATTGTATCCAGATATTTGGTCTGAAAGGGCCAAGTACAAAAGGGACAACTGCATTTCTGTGAAACTTGCAGAAATCCATTAAGTTTCCGTCTTAGTGTGCGTGAGTCACTACAGAGGGACTTGGCAAGCACTAACCAAGCAGTCCTTTTCCTTATGATTCAGGTTACGTACGGGGGGTGGCAATTCTTTTCCTAAGGGCCAGATAAGTAAATATTTTACGCTTAATTCATCTCTGTAAGTACAAATAGTAGACAAAAAATAGCCAGTGCTCGCAAAATGGCTACTGAATTAAATCATACAAACCAAAGAAAATCTTTAATAGTATTATACAAGTGTACTTATATTTTTATACTACTTTTTTTTTTTTTTTTTTTGAGACAGACTCGCTGTCACCCAGGCTGGAGTGCAGTGGTGCGATCTTGGCTCACGGCAACCTCCGCCTCCTGGGTTCAAGCAATTCTCCTGCCTCAGCCTCCCAAGTAGCTGGGACTATAGGCGCGTGCCACCACGCCCAGCTAATTTTTTTTTTTTTTTAGTAGAGAAGAGGTTTCACTGTGTTAGCCAGGATGGTCTCAATCTCCTGACCTCGTGATCTGCCCACCTTGGCCTCCCAAAGTGCTGGGCTTACAGGTGTGAGCCACCGCGCCCGGCCTATACTACTCATTTTTAACTGGGTTTATCATAATTCTCACTACTGTGGCAAACTTGATTTCATTTACTTTGTTAGTTCCTTTGCTAACCTACTCCATTTTTGATAAGCACATTATTTTAGACTCTACATTGAAGGTTTCAAGAAACCAAATGAAATGGCTTTCTCTTACCGTTTGCCTCGTGGATAATGCCGCACATATTCTCCAACATCATGAGCAGCAACAGCTAAGACCTGGGGATCATCTGACACTTCCAAAAGTTTTGTCAAGATTCTGAAACAAATTTTATCCAAAGAGAGATCAAGTTCTAATTTTTCTATAGAGTATAACAGAGCACAGGTATAATGAAGATATCTTCCTGAAAATAGACATTTATTAGTATATTCATATTCTTCTAAATATTTCACTATTACACACAAATTTGCAGTTTTCAAACCTTCAAAGCTTCATACATATATAACAAGTTTCTTTCAGATTCACAATGTAGGCCATGCACAATTTCCAAAATATCAGGGACTCCCCGCCTCAAGAAAACTAGAAGATGAATAAAAGTTATTTTAACACAAAACAGCTAATTATATACATTTTCATAAGCCATTTGTAAACCCTAGGACCTACTGGTATTTTAATGCTCAAGGGCCTAAAAATAGATGGAAAACTTCTCAATTCATTCTAAAAGCAGAGTATAACTGTGATACCCAGTCAGAATGAAGGTTTTTTAAATGGCTTGGTAGAAGACCAACATATAAAAACAACTCTTTCTAATATCCCAGCAACTCAGAAATAGATACATAAAAACCTTAACAAATTAGCCAACTGAACCCACTAGTACACTGAGAGACAATATTCAGTTTTCAGCTCAAATGTCATCTCTTGTATAAGAGGCCAGGATTACCCTAAGGCAGTACTCTCCCCATAATTCTCTTTTCCTTCTCCACTTTTCTTTATAATATTAATTACCACCTGCCATTGTAATATGTATTAAGACAGTCATGTTAAATGACTTCAAGTCATAGGAAGGAAAAATGACAGATCACAGATCAATACATTTAGTCTGATGACATGTGTAAGTAATGGTATATAAAGATGTAGGTAAGGTATGTCTAGGCACCGAAAGAGACCATGGCCTGCTGATCCTAGTTCCTCCTCAGGAAGAGTCTGAGATTGAATAGCAGTGAAGAAACCTCTCCACTTTAGTTCTCTCTGTCTTCAAGATGAAACAAGACATATATTCAGTTTCTCATATATCTATTTATGTTTTTAACATTTCAAACTATGTATGTTTTTAAAAGGCTAACTTGCAAATTATTCTAAAATTAAATTTAATTCAACTGAAACATTTTGATAATTTCAAAAGATTACTTCTATGTTTTATTTCGATAATTTAAATATCAAGAAATTTTATGAAATTATAAGCAAATTACATTAATAAAAATTATTTAAAATATAACATTTGTTCTCAAGAAAAGAAAAATAGCTCAGAGTCGTCAAAGCTATGTGAAATATATAAAATTTGTCACACCCAGAAACAAGAGTGTGGGTCCAAGGGCAATTATTTGAAGGCAGTTTGTCCCTAACTGTCCCACTCATTACCCTCATGTTCCTGGAATTTGTGATACGAACATCAATGTACAGCTAATCAACAGTTTATGTCATTTTAATGTAAATTCTTGATAAACGACTTAGGAACTGCCTCTTCTTTTTCCCTTAAAAGCCCACTTGTAACTGCTACTAATTGGAGTGTATATTCAAGGCAACTTGAATCTATGCTCTCAGGTAGCCATCTTCAAGCTTTGAGCTCGAACAATCTCTGTATTTAATCTTACTTTCTGAATTTCGTTATTTAAGACTGACATTCTGAATACATCAAACCAGAAGTCAGGAAATAACAGCTCAAGTCCAAACCCAGATGCCATCTGTTTCTGTAAATGTTTTACTGGAACACAGCCACGCTCATTAGTTTACTTGTTGCCCATAGCTGGCACTGCAATGGCAGAGGTGAGTAATTTGGGACAGAAACAAAATGGTTCAAAAGTCAAAAATATTTACTACCTGGGTGGGTCTTTACCAAATCACGCTGCCAATCCCTACCTTAAACCATTCTCAGTGACTTAAGCCATTCTCCATACGGCTGAGACCCTCCCTGATACCCAAAATACGGTGTACACACCAGCAGCATGGACATCACCTGGTTACTTAGAAATGCTGATCACAGACCCTAATCTAGGACTACTGAATTAGAATCTGCATTTTAACAAGATCTCCATTAACATTTGAGAAGCACAGCCTTAGAGTCAAATAATGTTAGAACTGGAAGGAATCACAGACTTTCTAGTTAAATCTGCAAAATGTGGACATGATTTTAATTCTTACCCTTCAGGACCATTAAGTCCACTAAATATCTTCAGCAACAATGAAAACATCTTTGTATTATTAGCTATAAACCTGCTGAGCATGCTATTTCTGTGTCAAATAATCAATAAAAATGTTCAAAAGAACAGGTTCAAAATAAGAGATTTTATGGTACGCAATGAGAGAGTTCCCTCCAAGATGTATCTGAATACAGTTAAGTCAACAATAGATTCATCAATCACAATCCAAACCTCTATTGCCACATTAACCACAAGTCATGATTCTATCAAATAGTCCAATGGATCCAGGCAGCAACACACCACAGCTCTGTAGTTAGACCAAATGTGATTTCTGCCTCGACATTAGCTAGAAATGTAATCTTGAAAAGCATCTGTTATAATCAAATTAGAATTTACATTATTATTCTAATTGATCACTCAACAAATACGTTCATTCTCTTTCACAATGTTTTCCCTCAGTTTTAGAAACTTGTTTTCCCTCTCAGCTTTTCCTTTTCTTCTATCTCCATGGCTTCTTATATTTCAGAGTATTTCCTTATTCAAAATATATATTTATTTCAAAACTACTAACATACAAGTTACAAGGTATTTTCTCTACAGTTCAAAAGTGAGAGGGAAAAATTAACTTACCTACTTGCCAAGTCTGGAATTACCTGACGTAAGTGTGGTTATCCACAGATAAAAGGAAGACCAGTACGCATGGTGCTTTTTAAACAGCAGAATCAAATAAAGATTTCATCCAGATCTATCTTAAATGGGCAGCACTAGTACCTGTCATTGACCTCTTGCAGATAATTTGTAAGAATGTAAAGAATATCAGGTGACATGATCAGGGGGTTGTTAAGCTGCCGCTCTAAAATAATAATTGCTTGCAGCTGGCGCCAGGGAAAGACAGTTTCCCAACAATAGAAAACACCTGAAGCTGGTGATCAGCGGCTTCCCAATAGTATCTCAAGAGTGGGGTGGGCAGGCTTAAGCATGCGCATTAAGGTGCAAAATGGCGGAGTTTAACCGGTATATGACCTTCCTCTAGGAATGCTCAACCAAGGGGAAAATGCCTCCAGTGAGCATGAACACAACTTCAGTAAACATACTGTGC